AGATGGGAAATAAACATGGCGGTCTAAAACTGCAAATAAATGTATACAGTAATATTTGGAAGCATCAGCTTGATTTGTAAAATTACAGAAAATTTGTTTGAACTTCATATATAAAAAAGGTAGCCATTTGTTAACTGTCACCTTTCTAGAGATTCATCTGCAGAACTTGTCTTGAATTTGAAACTTACTATTGTTACTTTTAAGTCTTTACTAGCATAGATTTCAGTATCAAAATGGACTTACCATTGTTACTTAAAGAGATTTCAATATCAAAATGTAACTTTCCGTTTTTACTTGCAGAAATGTAATTTTCCATTGCCAATTGCAGATTTCAGTATAAAAATGTAATTTTCCATTGCTAATTGTAAATTTCAGTATGGAAATGCAATTTTCCATTGCTTCTTATAGAGATTTCAGTATGAAAATGTAACTTTCCATTGCTAATTGCAGATTTCAGTATGGAAATGTAACTTCCATTGTTACTTAAAGAGATTTCAGTATCAAAATGTTACTTTCCATTGTTTATTATAGAGATTTCAGTATCAAAATGTTACTTTCCATTGTTTATTATAGAGATTTCAGTATCAAAATGTTACTTTCCATTGTTTATTATAGAGATTTCAGTATCAAAATGTTACTTTCCATTGTTTATTATAGAGATTTCAGTATCAAAATGTTACTTTCCATTGTTTGTTATAGAGATTTCAGTATCAAAATGTTACTTTCCATTGTTTATTATAGAGATTTCAGTATCAAAATGTTACTTTCCATTGTTTATTATAGAGATTTCAGTATCAAAATGTTACTTTCTAGAGTAAATTATTGCAGGTTTCAGTATGAAAATGTAACTTTTTATTGTTAGTTACAACTGTATTGCAGATATCCAGGGATTTTAGCATCAAAATGCTTTAATACTGCAGCCAATAGTAAAGATTGCAAAATCTGATAATTTAAGACATCTTATTTGTAAATTTAAGTAGACTTAAGTATAAATTATTTGTAAATTTAAGTAGACTTGGGTATAAATCAAATTCATATACAAGTTTTTAGTATTATACATTTTAATATATATTAGTATTTTTTTCTTTTCCTAATATTTTTGCTCTTATTTGGATTTTTGTCAATCAAAAATGATTGTAATTGTCTTAATACAACAGGTAGGTGGGATTTGTTTAAACTGTTAAGTTGCTTTCTCAACTTACATCAGAAACATTTTTTATCTTAGTTTGTGCCATCACCATGGTAACCAAGCATTAGCACTTTTTCCTGCTAATCATTTATATTAGAAAGTTGAGATTTACTATCTATTGGAACTGGAATGAAATGACTAGGAAATGGGTTAGTGTAACAGTATCGATTGTCAACTTTGTTGCTGGTTGTCTTACATTATGAAAATTTATCTGAACAATTTACATTTATGGTAATGCATTGTAAATGAATACTGATTATTATTTTCTACAACACAATAACGTTTATAGTGAGAAAAGCACATGCTTAAAACAAAATCACATGTTCACTCGTATGATGTAGACAGGAAATTTAACCATTATCTTAGTTGGTAAAACGTTTTGCAATATTAAACTGCTCTTATTTAAGAATTTCCTAGGTTAGGATAATAACATGTTAGAATGTCGGTGATATTAATTGTAAACCTACAGGAACCAAAATAACATAGGTGTAATACTGATACCATAACTATTGCTCATGGAATAAGAAGTTTTCATTAGTAAATATATACCAATTTCAGTCGTAGAGAGGTTGTTGAGCTTGCACAACAACCTCCTTGCGATCATACAGGTTGTTAGTGATCTTATAAGGTCTTAGGCTGTCGCACGATGGTCGTTCGGAAGTGCGACAATCTTACGACAGTCTTTACAAATTGCCACTAGTCACTGATAATCTTGAGTAGTCTTTAGTAATCGTGTGATAGTCGTACGACAAGTTGTAGGTGATCGCATGACAGGTCACGGGTAGTCGTAAGTAATCCCACACAATCTTGAGACCATCGTACGTTTGCTTATGACCTGTCGTGCGATTGTCAATGATGACTTGTCTTACGATAGTCGCAGAAGTAAATTTATCTGTGCAAAAATGGTTTTGGTCGCAGACAATCGCTGATGATCGTCAGGTTTACAAGTCGCCGGTGGTCGCAAGTAATCGTAACCTCTAGTGTGACTGGGGTTTAACATTTCTTAGAAACTGAGTCAAATGACAGAATAAAATCAGCTTGACCTGTAGAGAATTATTTGATTTATTTAATCTAGCAGTATCTAGCTAGCTGTAGCAACTATAGATTCAACAAATGTTGTTTATTTCTATATTTGATATTTATTAGGAAAGCATCTTGTTGATTAAGATTATTTGTTCCTCTAGGTCATATAGACGTTTATTAGCTTCAATCTATAAAATAGTAAGAACCTTGCTGAATTCCTGATATATCTTGAGTACTCTAAATTAACCTAATGACAGAGGACCTAGGAAAAAGTTCTTGGCAATCTCGTTCAATTATATTTGTTTTTATGATGATAGTTTTAATGCAAACTGTTAGGGTTTTTACTGGTATTTGAGCGCTTTAACTGATTGGTTTATTTGTAGGTCACTTAATTCTTTCAATGGTCATAGCATAATAAGACTTATTACATGCTTTTCAGTGGACAGTGAAATTATATTATACTGTAAGCGTATTATGAACAAAATCTAAAAATTTGAGTTCCACTGCAAACACATGTTTCTGTGCAGGTGCTTGCCACATAGTTATGTGATTTTTTTTGCAAAATGTTACATTTTAAAACAAATTGAATATTCATTATAAAGATAGGCATGCAAGAGACACTGAAACTCAATTACCACTTCTGTTGGTTTCGCATACATTACCATAACCAACACTATGCATGACTTTAAATTTCCTGGAATCAAGCGCTACAAGAATATATGCACGAAATCACGTAGGACAAAACCGCACTTTTCAATGAAAACAGCCATTTTTCACAAAATGCTCATGAAGTAATGGGTTAAATATACAGCAATGTTCAAGCTCTTGAAATATTAACCTGAATGTCATCATTGTCCTTGATATTTTCACCAGAAAAAAACCCAAACTAAACAACAACAACAGAAAGAACACCCCAAAAAAAACCTAAAAACTAAAGACCAACTTTTTACCTATTGTTTAATGAGCAACATCAGCACCTAGGGTTTTAGCAGATATTCAAACATTTAAATGCTTCTGTATATATATAATGGTGAAAACCTGTAGTCAAATTTAACAATTTAATATACCTGTCGTTCATTAGATCACTAGTTTAGTACATACTTTCAAACCTGAATAAATTACAGTCAATGAGTAGATAAATATTTAAATTTTCATTTAATTTAAAGTATATTTATGTAGTATTGACATTCTGCATGGTCATCATTTAGAGGGAAAAACATGGTATATCTTCTTGCAATAAAGTTCCATACAAAATGGTTTAATATATGAACTCTAGTTATCTAATTGGACTAAAATAAGCCCTTAAATTTTAATTTCCTTGAACATGATTTTTCAAACATCGTAGGCTTAGTGAATGAAATTTTTGTCCCTGAACTTACTAGTGTGTCTCCTTCCTGAGTGTTTTAGTTATTATATGTTTAATTAGAAAAATGGGTCAAGTATTATATTTTTGAAGCTTTACTTTTATTATGGCAGCAAGTCTAAAATAAGATGTATGTTATGATAATAATTAAGCACTGTGAATGTAACAGTAACCATTGAATAAAGATATTATAGATCTATATTTAAAATATATTGATGTGATGTCAGATGTCACATGTGACCTGGGATAAATTGATATTTCATGACATATAAAACAGTCTTATTTCATATTATAACAGAAGAAACTTAACAAATGTACATGTAATAGAAAGAGCATCGAAACACGAGGCTATCTGATTTGTACGAGGGCTACGCCCCCGAGTATTAATCAGAATGCCGAGTGTTTTGATGTTCTTTCTCTTTTGTATCCCTGTTGTCACAATATGAATCCCCAGAAAAAATTAACCAATGAACAAGCATTTGAATGTTTCCCTTTCTCTGCTGTCACAATGTGTAAATTTTAGCAAAAATGAGGTAACCAATGGGCATGCTCTGGAGTGCGGGTAACTAATACCTTCACTCCAGTTAACCCAATGTTCATGTATATGTATAGGATTTAACTTTTACATTTTCAACAGAAAGGTCCCCAAACTATGACACAAGAATATGTTTATAAATGTGCATTAACAGTATCTTGTTGTGTGTACATTTATTTTTGAAACAAATAATTTTTAGCTCATTTATTTGAAGAAAAGGGAGAGCTATTGTACTCACCAAAGCTTGGTTATCAGTATTTTTGTGCAAGTTGTTATCTCCACAACACTGGAGTGAATTGGTTGAAACTTCACAAACATTTTGAGGGCATAACAGGAGGTCATTGTCCAAGGCATAACTCTAATATTGATTTTGGTAGAATAAGGGACCTTTTTGAATTGAGAAAATTCTACACTATCCCAAATCTTGTTTTTCTACCAAGCACTGAGAATAGTCAAGCAGGCTGTCCTACCGACAGCTTTTGTTAAGTCATATGGCTACTTTCCATCTTTTATGATAGAAGTAAATGTGGGTGACCCTTTGTGCATTATTAAAGGCATTATGGGATTGTATAGGATACAGCAATTGAAAGTTAATAAACTAGTTGCAAATATCCTCTTCATGAAATAATTCAACCATTTTCATCAAATGAACGCACAATAAATAAATATAATAATTTGCATAGATAACAGAAAGTTCATGACTACTTTAACACTATTCACATTTTTATGACATGTTAAGTCGAATCAACATTTTCACTTCATAAGTGCTTTAAATTTAGTAATAAAATCAAACAATTTCAGTGATAAAGTGCAAAAACATTAAGTTATAAAAACGTCATTTAGTTTTCATTTAGATGTTGTTTTGATAATTGATACAATTGCACTTTCAGGATAAAGCGTTTGATTGGTTACCAGAACGAAGAGATGGTCGGCCAATCATTTTACGCCTTCCCGCATGCTATTGACAGTAAAATGATGGAGAAGGCATTTAAGGATTGTAAGTATTCTATAAATGTTTAGTCCTTTCACTTTCAGCCTTCACTTTCAGCCTTTTATTGGTTAAAGTCCTCTTTTGTCAATAGTTTTATATACCTATGATCTGTCCATCCCGCTGTCAAGCTGGCTGACTAGATTGACAAAACTGAAGAATGCAGGGGTATCCGTGCCTTACAGACACATTTCTAGTTACAACTACTTTTCTAATTGCATAAATATAGAAATTTTCCAGACAAACTAAGTAGGGATAAAGTGATCTTGTAGTCTTATTTCTGCCTCTGAACTCCTTTTTGCTCAACTTGAGTCTAAAGGCATTGTCCTCATATGACAACAATACTGTTAAGTATGAGAACCAGTATTAAGGTGGTTAAAATAATCTTAAAGCTTTTATTTATGTATATTGAATAAGTTTTATTTAACTAGCATGAATAAAGACTAGAGCCTTGGTATTATGGGAGGTTTAAATAATCTTATAGCCTTTATTTATGTGTATTGAATGAATTTTATTTAACTAGCATGAATTAAGTCTAGAGCTTTTTGAGTGAAAATTAGAAGTTGAACATATCTTGGTTGCAAACCTTCTGTTACATCACTCTAAAATTATAAGGAATTTTCAGTTAAGTATCTTATTTGTCATAAATTATAAACAAAATAATTTTATGTTTACAGTATTTTCGAAGGGACAAACAGCTACTGGACAATACAGATTTTTAGCTAAAAATGGGGGCTATGTTTGGATGGTTACCGAGGCAACAGTTATTTTTAACAACCGCTCCCAGAAGCCAGAATGTGTTGTTTGTGTCCATTATGTTCTCAGGTAAGCATTATGCTATGTCAGAGCTTAGTCGTTAGAAAAACTGAATTCTATAAAAATATACAATGACTCATTTGAACACTTTTCAGTCTGTTCAAATGTCTGTCTGTTTTTCACTTTTTTTGGCCATTTTTCTCTGCACTCTGCTATAAGAATATTGTAAAACAAGCACTGTTTACTGTTGTCACCTTTGAAAAAGTTTTTGTACAGTTTACTGGCTTCATTTGCAAAATTTCATTAGTTCATGATTCATAATGCTATTACAATGTTCTAAAAATTTGACAAATTTATGAAATGATTTGCAGTGGCGGCTTATATGAAATTTAAATCTGTAGAAAGTGACATTGAACTTGTACTCATGTTATATGATCATATGATCTTGAGAAGCAGACACTCCTATCTGGTTATTGTACAAACTTATTTCATAATTGATTTATGATATGGATCATGAATGATAAGTTTTACTGTATACTTCTGGTACTTATTGGTATACTCATTTTTGACCTTGTTCATGACAATTTCCTGAATTCTTGTATTTGTCATGAAACATTGTGCAAATCGAAACCATCTTGGTTGTGTAATTAGTGGGTACTTAGCATGCAAGTTCAAGTGTACTTGATGTTCCACCTACTCTTTATTGCATTCCTATCTAATTCTTCTAGCCATAGTTATGAGTAAATACCAATATCTATTCAGTTAAATTCATATGTGTTAGTAATGGCCAAGTCCATATTCAATTCATCAAGAAAAGACCAAGTCCATATTCAATTCATCAAGAAAAGACCAAGTCCATATTCAATTCATCAAGTAAAGACTAAGTCCATATTCAATTCATCAAGTAAAGACCCAATTCCATATTCAATTTATCAAGTAAAGACCCAATTCCATATTCAATTCATCAAGAAAAGACCAAGTCCATATTCAATTTATCAAGTAAAGACTAAGTCCATATTCAATTCATCAAGTAAAGACCCAACCAAGTCCATATTCCAATTCAATTATCAAGTAAAGACTAAGTCCATATTCAATTCATCAAGAAAAGACCAAGTCCATATTCAATTCATCAAGAAAAGACTAAGTCCATATTCAATTCATCAAGTAAAGACTAAGTCCATATTCAATTCATCAAGTAAAGACCCAATTCCATATTCAATTCATCAAATAAAGACCCAATTAGTTGTTAGTAAAGACCAAGTCCATATTCAATTCATCAAGAAAAGAAAGACCAATTCCATATTCAATTCATCAAGTCATAGTTGTTAGTAAAGACCAAGTCCATATTCAATTCATCAAGAAAAGAAAGACCAATTCCATATTCAATTCATCAAGTCATAGTTGTGAGTAAAGACCAAGTCCATATTCAATTCATCAAGAAAAGACCAAATCCATATTTAGTTCATCAAGTCATAGTTGTGAGTAAAGACAACTGTCTATCCAATTTAATTCATAGTTGTAAGTAAAGGCCAAGTCTAATTTCAATTCTTCATGCCAGTAGTGAGTTAAAGACCAAGTCCATATTCAATTCATCAGGAGAAGACCAATTCAATTTAAATTTAAAAGACTGATGCCATATAATATTTAAGTCTTAGTTATGTTGCCATATATTATAAATTGTTAACCTGCCACCTTTTGACCTCAAACATGAACTAGGATGTATCATTTTAGTATCACATTTGAACAAAAAGAAAGTGGAGCTATTGTCATGATCCTTGTGTTGGTTTTTTTGCAAAGTTATGCTCCTTTTTTGACCCCAGTTAATCATTTTGTTAACCCATTACGCGTTATACACGCCTTTTAACGCCTTTTTCACCCCCCCCCCATTTTGTTGTCTCAAATGGTGAAAAAATGCCTTATTTAGGCCCCCAACAGTTGTTTTTGTTTGAGAAATGTTGTTAAAAAAATTGACCACTTTTGCAGCGAGGCCCCCAACCAAAGGATACATCAGGGGGTTGCCAGAAGGGGGATGTGCCCCCTTCTGTTTGGGGGGTTTGAAGGGGGCGGCAGTCCCCCTCATCGCCAAGAAAATTTTGGACTTGTGAGAGGCTAATATTGACCCCAGATTGATCATAAGGCAACGTGTAACCAACGCTGAAAAGCATTTGACTCTCTCTCAATCCATTGAGAAGTTGCAGCACTTTGAAATCAATTTTGATGGAAAAAATCAACGCAAAATAGTGATTTTTGGCAATTTTGAGATGCCCCCCTCGTTGCCATGGTAACAGAAAATTTAAGCCTGAGCATTTTGTTGCAAAGACAATGGTCCAGTCAACATTTGTGCCATGTTTGATTAGTATTGAAGAGTTTTTATAATTTTTTAGCAATTTGAACTTGTAATGGGAGACTTTTCAATAAAAACAGCCATTTTTCACAAAATGCTCATGAAGTAATGGGTTAATGTCCATTTCACAAAGAAATTATGAAATGTATTCACTTCAAACCTCAAAAATTAACAAAGATATTCAGTTTATAATGCATCTTTTAAGTGTTTGCTTTTATCAAACTATCCAGTGCTGGGAAAAAAGGTGCATGTTGTCCAATGCTATAACTCTAGTTCAAATGCATGCGCCCAATATTTTATTGTAAATGTATGACAGTGATTTATCAATAAACTGATACATCTTTACATTCTTCCTTTCAGTCATGTTGAGCAACATGGTCGTGTTCTTTCAGACGTACAGATGACGTCTTCTGCTACAGTCAAAGAAGAACAAGTATCTCCTCCACCTTGCGATGTTCTTAAAGCAACGACCACATCGCCAAGAGTTAATAAAACATCTAGACCAAGACGCCGGGATGTGAAACTGGAGGACATCTTTCACGTACCAACTTTCAGTACTGAATCAGTTTTTGGCGAAAAAACAGACGATATGGAACAAGAATATTATTTCCCAAAAGGTGTAAAAAAAAGTAAGACTCAATTTTTTGATATTTTCTCTTCTTTTTTTTCTTTATCCTTTTTGTTTAGTTTTAAAGCTAGCACTTCGAATTAGAGGTAAACAGTAGCACTTTGAATTAAAAGTGAACTTTATATGGAATATAGATTTCTATTAAGTCTGGCATGTATTGACTATACCTCCAATCTTGAAGAGTATGACTACATTTTAAGTCTGTTTACAGTATAGCCTATAAAGCTTTATGCAAGCTTATTTTCTGTTTAGTTTCCCTGCATGAAATTTTAGAATTAGTTTTGCTGTGTGTTTTTCTCCCCATTTTAGTAAAACCCTAAAATCCATGTTGTTTGTCTTGTAGTTACTTAACGTTTTTAAACCATCAAAAAATATATTAGTGTTCAATGGCAAATAAAGACTTTATGGTTAGACAAACAAGGAATATATTAGAATCACAATGTCCATGGTGATGATATTTCAAAACTGAATTGAATATGAAAAAATTAACCGATTTTGTCATAATTTTAGTAATTTGTAATTCATTTGAATTTATCAAATTGGATTTTATAACCAGATTTAAAACATATTTAAATTAATTAAAGTTTTTATGCTCTGCTTTTGAACACTATGTAAACACTGAAAAGGTTTTTGATACCATGAGAAAAGATATTGTTGGGCTGTGGTAAAAATTAGGAGAAAGTATCAAAATGGAGAGTTAACACATTACGTAATATGGATATGAAATGTCCAGCATATTAAACTACTAATTTGATCAAATTTAAAAGCAAAGTCGAAAGAATAAGAAAAAAAAAGACACATTTGGCATCTTTACAGACTGATCAGAAAAAGTAAGGCACCACTGAACGTGTAGTAGGTGTAAGCTAGTAAATCAAATGTCCGTGAAGAGCGCCACCTACTGACATAGGTCTGAAGATAAAGGGAGGGAAGCCAGGACACTACTGCTGTAGTTTGAGGGAGTTACTCTGTTGACAGCAGTGGTTTGGTATTGACGAAGGAAGTGATATAGATTGAAAAGTTGTTGATAGTAATCACATGTAAGGAGTTGCTTTTCAATAATATTTTATGGCTGCAGTAACAAGAGCCCCCTCCCCTAGAAGGTGTGACAGTGTGTTCCTCTACTTTGGTAAGGTCAACAATCTAACAATAAAAGGAAAAAATGAAAAGGAAAAAATGTAAAAGCTAACACTTGAAAAAAAAAATCAGCAAGTAGAGCAGTCTATTAAAAACCTGACTAAACAGAGATTCTGAAAATGGAGCAAAAAAATGTGCATTTGAAAAGTGAGATTATATAAACAGTGTTTTTTTTGAGAACTTGTTGGGCATTGAACTGAGATCTTGTCAAAATTAAATTGATATCTAAAGCTTGTCTTTATGTTTAATTAATAAGACTATGGAATCCGGTCATATGTTGCAGTTTTCTGTTGCAAGCCTGTATGTTTATATGAAATGAATACATATTTCTTTACATTCGGTATTTTGACAGATGAAGATCTGCGATTACAAGTTTTGATTAAATATGGATAATAATCGGAGCTTGATTGAGTACCAGTCTATTTTCTAGACCAGTCAGCTCTTTCAAATTTGAAATGAAATATCTTAAACCAGTCATTTTTTTTAAAAACAGCACTAACAATTTACTGATATGTTAATAAATTTGATCTAAATCTTGTTTTTATTTGTCAAGATAAAGAAGATAAATATGAAGTATCAGCCAAAATTATATACCATTCATTCAGCTTTTCTGATTTTGAAAAAAAAGTTAAACCAGTCTGTTGTTAAAAAAAAATTGGAAACATTATATGTGTATTATGATCTACATTTTCTACAAATAAGGAAAGTAATTTTTCCGGTATATCTGACTTAATCTTTCTATTTTAAGAAGCTTCACTTTTCCAAGTATTCATGCTAAGAGTCCATTTATTTGACATTTCTCGTTTAGTCAAAATGTAATAGTGCTATTTTGAGCACCAAATTAATGCTGAAATAACCCCATTAATTTAATGTTAATAGTTGGTGACATAGGATAATTGGAATCTTTTTACTGATGGCAATATGAATTCTAAGAACTATTTTTTCAAGAATCTTATTTAGTTATACATGTTAAAGGAAATCAATTTAAAAAAGACACTTCTTTATCCATAAAGAGAATATTTTCAGCAAAATAATTTTGAAAATTTTTCAATGAATAATAAACAAATGCCTGCACTCAAAATTCCTGTGAAAATATTTTGAAGTAGCTCTTCTATGTAAATGCATGAAAATATAAATTTTTTTGATAGAAAATTTGATATCAGTTGATTTACTTGTCTGGAAGTTTTGAAAGAGAGCATTATGAAAAAGTGAAAAGTTATCTAGAATAGATCTTGTTTAACATGTAATTTATACATGAATAGGCATGCATGATTCTGTAATTCACAGAACAGCTTGTATTCTTCCAAGTAGAAAATTCATTTAGCATTTAAGTCAGGGAGCATGCCTGGTCGAGCGGATAAAACTTTAAATAATATAGTCTTAAACTCAAATCCCAAAGGATGTTTAAGTAATTTTTTGTTCTTTTATCCTCATTGGTTATTTAAGGTTATAGTTTAATCAAAGTGCACTTTTGTGCTGTACTAATGAAGGTAAGTATACTTGGGATTCTTCTTCAGATAGGGAGGGATTCCTGTGTCTGTGATCTTTTTCCAAGTATAGGGATATCTGGGATTCTTCCTGGGATCTTTTCCCAAGTATTGGGATATCTTGGATTCTTCTTCAGGTAGAGTGTCTGGGATCTTTTTCCAAGTATAGGGATATCTGGGATTCTTCCTGGGATCTTTTTCAAGTATAGGGATATCTGCGATTCTTCTTCAGGTAGAGTGACTGGGTTCTTTTTTCCAAGTATAGGAATATCTGTGATTCTTCTTCAGGTAGAGTGACTGGGATCTTTTTCCAAGTATAGGGATATCTAGGATTCTTCCTGGGATCTTTTTCCAAGTATAGGGATATCTGGGATTCTTCTTCAGGTACAGTTTCTGGGAAATTTTTCCAAGTATAGGGATATCTAGGATTCTTCCTGGGATCTTTTTCCAAGTATAGGGATATCTGGGATTCTTCTTCAGGTACAGTTTCTGGGAAATTTTTCCAAGTATAGGGATATCTGGGATTTTCTTCTTCTAGTAGAGAGTCTGGGATCTTTTTCCAGGAATTGGGATATCTGGGATTCTTCTTCAGGTAGAGTGACTTGGATCTTTCTCCAGGGATTGGGATATCTTGGATCTTTTTGCAAGTATAGGGGTATCTGGGATTCTTCTTCAGGTACAGTTTCTGGGAACTTTTTCCAAGTATAGGGATATCTGGGATTTTCTTCATCTAGTAGAGTGTCTGGGATCTTTTTCTAGGTATTGGGATATCTGGGATTCTTCTTCAGGTAGAGTGTCTGGGATCTTTTTCCAAGAATAGGGGTATCTTGGATTTTCTTCTTCAGGTAGAGTGTCTGGGATCTTTTTCCAGGTATTGGGATATCTGGAATTATTCTTCAGGTAGAGTGTCTGGGATCTTTTTCCAAGAATAGGGGTATCTTGGATTTTCTTCTTCAGGTAGAGTGTCTGGGATCTTTTTCCAGGCATAGGGTTATCTGGGTTTCTTAATCAGGTAGAGTGTCTGGGATCTTTTTTCCAAATATAGGGATATATATGGGATCTTTTCCAATAAGGGACTTCTGAGATCTTTATCCAAGTCTAATGGACATCTGGTTGCTAAATTTATTACTGACATGAATCAGGGCAGGGGCAATGTTAACCTAACTCAAGTTCTTTAAAAAATACAATAAATGGTTATTAGAAACTACAAGTACTTTCAATGGCTAATGCAAACAAAATTTCCGTGAATGAAACAATAATGGTTTCATTGCATTATCATGATCTAAACGAATGCATTTAAGAAGGTCAAAATGTAGTAGGAAAAGAGAACTTGATAAAAATTGGGGAAGGTCAAGAGGTACTAGAATGTTAACAATACATTATCAAAATATTTAATGAGAATAGATAAACATCCTGATCTTATTGATACAAGTTTATTCGGTTAATGACTTCTTAATTTTTCAATTGTTAACTAAATGATTTCAATTGTTCATCTTAATTAGTTTTAAAGCTGTATTTCTAAGCCAATTTTTGAAAAATAGTGAAAATTATTTAACTATTAAAGTATGAAGTATTTGTATTCATTAGAATTTTTGCCCATACTTCAGTTTTGGTAATTAATCTTTTTATGGATGATTATAAGTGTAGTGTTACATTTATAAAAGATAATTGTATGTGTGTGTTATTTTTGTTAATCATGTTTGCATGTACTTGATGAGCAAAATCAACTAAAATAAAAAAAAGAAAAAGAAGACAGAGTTATTTTCCTACCTCTTTCCTAACAATGAAACAGGCTGCAATTTTCTGAAGTTTCATTTACTGACAATCAAGCTCTTATTCTGTTGAATTGGCATAATGGACTTGCCCAGTTTTGAATTTAGAACAGTTCATATGTAATTAAAGGGATACAGGATCAGATACTTAAAATTTGCCAGCCGACAGTGTCTAGCCTGGTCAGACTGCATGGATGTACCGGCTGGCCTGGCTCTATATTGATGACATGGGTTTATAATGATGACAGCAGTTCTCTAATATAATGATAAAAAATATAGTTTTCTTACCAAGCTTGAAAAAATAACTGTTTCGTGAGAAGGTAAAAAGTTATTAATATTTTTGTCTGATTTACTGGTGTGGTAAAAGTTTTATGTTTTCTTGCTTGTTCAATATCTGTGATTCTTCTTCAGGTAGTGTGTCTTTGATCTTTTTCCAAGTATAGGGATATCTAGGATTCTTCCTGGGATCTTTTTCCAAGTATAGGGATATCTGGGATTCTTCTTCAGGTACAGTTTCTGGGAAACTTTTCCAAGTTACATAGGGATATCTGGGATTTTCTTCTTCTAGTAGAGCATCAGGGATCTTTTTCCAGGTATTGGGATATCTG